TCCCTATCATACTCCCCACCAGTATTTTATGCCAATAATTAGATAGCGGGTCTTTGATAGCTTCCTGCTGTTCGTCCACATCCGAATGTTGTTAAGTCCTATCGGAATTTTGTTTTTCTTATGTAATTTGAAAAAAAAACCCTCCTGTTTTTCTGCTCTTAGATTGATATAGTAGTTCCATTTTATGAAATAATTATTCATCGTGGTTGATACCGCAATGGCATTGGTTATTTTAATGATGTCAAGATATGAGATTGCAAAGTAAGATATGGGGTACAAAAATGAGTAGCAATACTAGATGCCCCAGTATATATTAAAATGTGGATGTAAGCGAAAGAAGAATAAACAACAGTTCGTGGTTATTTGTTCACGTTCGCATTTTTCTAAGAGTGTGGATTAAAAAGACCTAAGAAATAACGTTTACTGTTGACTGGGCGGAACCAAAAATAGCGTAAAGTTAAACAAGAGATCTTAAAAGCGAAGAATGCAAGTGACAAGTGAAGTGTAAACTGTTAAAAAAAGAAAACTGTTATTGCTATTTTAGTAACGTTGAGGTCAACTCTCTCTCTCTCTCCCCTCCCTCATCTCTCTCTCTCTCTCTCTCTCTCTCTCTCTCTCTCTCTCTCTCTCCTCTCTCTCTCTCTCCTTTCTCTCTCTCTCTCTCTCTCCTTTCTCTCTCTCTCTCTCACTCTTTCTCTCTCTCTCTCTCCTCTCTCTCTCCTCTCTCTCCTTTCTCTCTCTCTCTCTCTCTCTCTCTCTCCTCTCTCTCTCCTCTCTCTCCTTTCTCTCTCTCTCTCTCTCTCTCTCTCTCTCTCTCACTCTTTCTCTCTCTCTCTCTCTCTCTCTCTCTCCTCTCTCTCTCCTTTCTCTCTCTCTCTCTCTCACTCTTTCTCTTTCTCTCTCTCTCTCTCTCTCTCTCTCTCTCTCTCGTGTACCCTGAGATTACCGTCATGGTGGACAGGGAAAACCCCAAATAAACAAACAAACAAACTCTCTCGTGTGCTATCTATTATCCTCTTCAGTCAATTGCCTGGTCTTTTGGCTCGACACAGGACGTGACTGTGAACACAGTGAACACACTCTCTCTCTCTCTCTCTCTCTCTCTCTCTCTCTCTCTCTCTCTCTCTCTCTCTCTCTCTCTCTCTCTTTCTCTATCTTCGTTCTCTCTTTTTCTCTCTCCTTCTCTCTCTATATCTCTCTACATCTCTCTTTCTATATCTCTCTCCCCGTCTCCCTCTGTCTCTCTATATCTCTCTGTTATTTCTATACAGATATGAAATACTTCAATGTGGCCTCGTTGAGAAGCTAATAAAGAGACGCAAGTCACCAACAGAATCGCCAGTCTACCTCGTTACGCTCGAAGAAACTGACGATGTGATAAAGACTACTCACCTTGCAACAGGACATGGTGTGCGCGACAGGATGATTAAAGAACCTGATAAAAAATTTGCAAATGTGCGCCGAGAAAGCATAGAACTGTTCAAGTTTGTTTGTAAGGCATGCCAGGAAAAAACAAAGAGACAAAAAAAAAGGTGTTGTTGTCCGACCTATTCTTTCAAATAGTTGAATTATGGTTTACCAAGACCATCCGACTTAATTCGTCGTATTGAGACCAATGGCATCAAAAAGAGGTGGTGAGGTAGCGTTTCAGTTGGTGGGTATTTTCACTTTACTGGGCGCTCCTGTGATTCTGCAGTCAGACATTGGTTCCGAGGTTACCGCAGTTGTCATCAGAGAGTCATTCTTACATTACAATGAGATCTAGATCTAGATCTACATTGGTCAAAGATAAAAAAGGCTTTTCAGCAATAAAATTTGTCAAGTTATTTGGAAACTGATATAATGCTGATTCATGTAGATCTAGTTAGTTTTTGTCTATCAGGTAAAGCTTTTGCAGAACTCACATAGATTTCCAATATTTTTGATTTTGTAAGGGTAGGTAAGAATATCAGAATAGCAAGGGAAGTAGCTTTTATTATTTCTAAAAAAGTAATTAACCAAGACTGTTATACTCGTATATTGTCTACTATCCTTTTTTCCATTACATAATATTGTTAATCTTCTTTCATTTCTATAGTTGTTTGTTTAGTATGTTATGTAGTGATAGAATTGATGTAGACCTCCAGTCTGTGGGAGAGCTATTGAAAAAAACAAAACAAATTACAAACTTCAAAGCATTAAACCCAAACTGGGACTGCAAAATCCTCTGGGCCTCTCAAGAACAGACGAAGTTATTTTTACTCGATTACACATCGGACACACGGCCCTAACACACAAATACCTCCTTCAGAGAGATAAGAAGCCGTTCTGTGTCAGATGCGAAACAGATTTTACCATTAGACACATTTTAACCGAATGTCTAGACTTCGGAGAGACCCGAAGGAAAAACTTTAAATGCAAAAAACTGCAAGATAGTTTTTCCGTCCTTGTTCCCAACAGATTTTTTTAATTTTATGAAAGCCATTGGCCTTCATGGGACATTATAGAGTGAACTTAAATTGTTACAAATGTCGATGTTATTTATGAAAGTTGTTTTAGATTGAAAATATATTTACACCGAATTTTAAATATTTTATCAATTTAAGATCTAACTATTGACCCGAACCCAGCCGTACAGTGAACTGTTACGAATAAAACTAACTTGTGTTTCGCGCGCTCATATGACCTTACGCAGTTGCGAGCGCCGTAAAACCTCATACAAAAAAAAATTAATTAATTAATGTAAACAAAAATTCGAAAGGCAATGCAAGTTACCTAAACAGTGGGTTTTTTATTATTTGAATGATAGAGTGACTTTCAAATTTCAAATAATGTAGGCTTAATTGTTTGATGGTCATTTATAAAAGCTGATATGATCTAGGCCGCCTCGATTGCTAGATTGTGAACTGGATCAACTTGGTAACTGCTTTTGAGAAAATGGATCTTAAACGGTTTTCAAGGGGTGTAACTGTGTATTTCCCGAGAAGAGCTGTACACAACGCTTGCATCCCTTTATTAAATTTTACAATGCCTAACAATGGGTGAAGAAAACTTCATGAACTTTAATCAAATTGAACAACAGAAGGATTTGCAAATAAATTTTCAGCAAAAATATAATCGTAATTAAAATTCAAGACTTTTTAAATCTTGAAAATTACACTTGGACACTAATGTAGAATAAAGCCGCATTTAGACGTACAGTTCGCTGATCGACAAACTGACAGTTTAACCGACGGACGCTCGATCTGGGTCATCGGTAAACCGACAGATTGTCGACGAGAGAATTTCCGTTCAGACGTACAGTTTTTTATCCGTACTTGGACTGTTGTAGCTAGATCTAGGTCAAAAACGTCCACAATGGCTGAAGCAAGCTACCTGGATGATTTGGAAGCATGATTTGTTCTCAAATCCTAAAAGAAATCCAGAAAGAGGACCATCTGTGCTAAAGAATGGCTATTAAAAAGAAGTACCTACACACACAAATATTCTATTTCCACAATACTGGCAACGTTCGATAATGTTCTATGAACTGTAGAAGAGTTTAGTTTTTCAATAGCCCCCCCCCCCCCCCAACCCTCCATTACTATTAGCCAGTTTTGGTCCCTAAAGTAGGAGTAGGGGGGGTTTCAAGGGGGGCAGGTAGAAATCTAATAAGATTGTGGAGGGGGGTTCAAAACGGGGGGAGGGGGGGGGGGTCATTTTACCATAATTTGGTGTTTTCACGTTAGGTTTGATATCTCTCGCTCGCCGCGCATCAAACATAGCCTTCTGATCTAAATCTAGATCTGGATCTAGGTCCAAATAAGCAGGGTGGGAACTACCGAAAAAGCGCCCAGTTTCCTTGTTTTTCCACGGGGACATTTTGCAATAGTAAAACTGGTAGCGTGTAGAAAAAAATAAAATAAACAGCACCGTTTAGATGAAACAATGGTGTGTAGCCCTCGGCTGACTCCAACACATCTCGACGTCTTTGGTCCGCACACACTGCGGAGTCTACATTATATATTTATAATAATTTATATATAATATTTTATTTATATAAAAACATGCATATATTATATACAAGTATAGTGAAAATATATTGTAAACAATCTGAGATATGCAGACGACCCAGCCCTAATAGCAGAAGGTAAAGAACACCTACATGATCTATTGAATGCCATCATACAAGAGAGTGACAACATGGGCCTCAGCTTAAAAATCAAGAACACTGAAACAATGGTAATAAGCAGAAAAAAACCCTAACCCCAACCTGCAATATCAAGCAAGTACAACATTTTAAATATTGGGGGAGGATAAAAGCCGCATTTGCCAAGAAAAGGCGACCTTCCACAAAATGAAACAGATACTTAACAACTTCAAAATGTCACTGAAAACAAGAATAAGAGTACGGAAAAGTTACATCCAGCCAATCCTATTATACGTGTGCGAAGCATGGACAATCAATGTACAGCTGGATGGAAAGAACAATTGAGGCGACATAGTTGTTGTTCATAAGACGCATGCTACGTATCCCATGGACAGCTGCTAGAAAAACAAGAAGTCTTGGTTGAAGCAAATTGCAGATGACAGCTTATGACGAATATAGCCTACGAAAGAGACAGGCATATTTCCGTGAATACACGATGCGGAATGAAGCATTGGGGATAGGAGAATATTGTAACAGCAATCAAGTTTGATGGAAAGAGAGTCAGAGGCAGACAGAGGGGAAAGATACCGGACAAGTTGACAACATGGCTGGGAACAGTAGGAACGACAGACACCATCGCAGCAACGCAAGACAGAGAGAAGCGGAGGTCCATGATTGTCCACGCCAGTCGGCAGGGCACCGGGTGATGATGCATGATATAATACAATATAAATACACAAAATACTATCTATAAATTATAGGCCTACCAATTATTGTTTATAAACACGCATTATGGTGTGCAATGTTGTCTTCAATCTCTGAACAAATTCTGCACTCTGTGTACTTTACCATGTTACGTCACCCACGTTTGTGCACGTTCAGTATGAAATTGCCGATGTCAACTTAGACTTTAATTCATATTATCTTGTAAACATCCTGGATTTGTTTGGATTTTCACCTTCTCTAACGTAACTAATGAAAGATATTTTTCAGTAATATCAGAACGCCAAAAAGTGGAGAGGGTCGCTGGATGCCATAAAGGGTGTCAGAGGTCAAGTAAAAACGCACAACTCTTTTAAATATGCCGCACAATCCCAAAAAGGTAATTCTGTTACAATCACTTAGATCTAGATCTAGATTTATCTAGAGTACTGTCTGGGCAATCCGCCCACTTAACCCATTTTGGCTCACTTGAGTCTCCTGTCTTTTGGCAACCCAAGTAAGCCACAATTACTGAACCGCCACACTTTCTTCATCCCTCAGAAGAGTGCATTTCTCATAATATGCCATATTTCTTTCCAGTTGATAGCCAAAACTATTTTCTAAGTGGTCCGGGTTATCTGCCCAGGGTCTGGGCTATATGCCCACACCAGTCCACGCAGACCGCCCCCCCCCCTAGTCTGGGCTACCCGCCCCCACTGTAT